TGGCTACATTATTAAATTTTTGTCTATGCAGAGAAATCCATGGCCAATTGGACGAAACATACGTCGACAAAATATTAAGGGACAAAATTTATTTGGAGTGGAGTGGGCTGAGTACATTTTTATTAACACTATGGCTTGGGTTAGGTAATGTAATGCTCATCTTCTTACACTGAAAACCCACTTGTATTATATTTTAGCCTCTTTGCTAATTACTGCTTAAACTTCATCCATAAAAATATTATTTCTTAACATTTGAAAAGTATTAATTTTATATTTTCCTCGTGATGAATATTCTGTCCCATGCTTTTCACTTTTTAATCAATACTTTGAAATATTTAGAGCATTCACGGAGCAATGCTCATCCTGGACAAATTTTGTTTTAGTTAATAATGTGCAATTCAACCAATAAATATAAAAAAAAAATTTATTTTATATTTTATTGTTATAAATGTAACAATTACTTTTTTTTTTCATTTGGATATAAATAAGAGTTTTTTTTAAAAAAATTTGCACAACTAAACATCTCAAATTTCTCTCTATCACTCTCAAAAAATTCTCAACTTCTTTTTATTATATAGATTCAAGCCAAAATTTATGGTTTAATTTAATACCAAATTATCAACAATCCACAAATCCAAATTTTCAAAATTCATGGTTTAACAAAAGTAGTTATTAATAATTTTACTACTTTTTTTTAATTGTGCCAACAAATTATTTAAATAATGATAAAATAAAAAATTGGTTATTTTTTTTAAAAATGAATTAATTTATAAATAAATAAATAAATTATTATAAATTAATAAATGAGTTCATAATAAAATATATTGATGTAAGTTTTTTGGTGAGACCTATTGAAACACCCAAAGAGAGTTGAACCATTGTAAAGATGAAGTACTTGCATGTGTTTATATGGAAAAGAGTAATAATGAGTGATGTGTCCAGATGAATCTCATTAAAAACACCCAAATAAAATTGTTCCTTTGTGAATGCTCTTAGATGTTAGATCAAAGTTGTTCACAAGTTATTTATTGTTCATTCCAAAACATTTTACATAGCTCAATTTAACTAATTGTGCCCAAACTTAATTTCACATATACAAGTTTAATTTTAATATTTTGACAATATATAAGTTTTACCGTATCAATCAATTAACATTTATTTCAAATATGATTCTAAAAGTAGTCATTATGAAAATCAATAATTTCTAACTAAATGACAATTCATAAGCAAAATAGTGTAATAAGCAAAATAGTGTAAGTATATTATTATTATTTTCTTATAAAATGCAAGTATATCAAGTTCTAAGAGAACAATGTTTTGTGTTAAGGGTATGCAAAATATCCAAAACTAATTTAAAATTGAATCGATCTATACTAAAAAAAAATCGAATCCATTTTGAGAAAAAAAATTCAAATCAATTCATTTTACAAAACTAATTTATCTATTCGATTGAATCAATTCGGTTCAATTCAATTTTCTTAAAAACTTAATTCATATATAGATTTAAAATGGATAATCGTATTATACAAACTGATTCAATTTTAAAAAAATTAATTTATATTTTAAAAAAATTAAACTGAGATAAAATGAATTGATTCAATTAAAATTATTAAATTTAAAATTTTTAAAAATCTGATACATGAAAATCCTCGTCTTATTTTATTGGGGAATGAATTGAAGTTGGTAACTAAAGATGCAAACAGGGGAGAGAATTGAGTGACAGATCATACAGTCGAACTAGTTGATCCATATATTGGCCAATCAATCTCTCAAAACAGTTTCAGTTAAATGAATTCTAGAATAATCTAAGAATACTATTTTGCGTAAATTTATCAACGTTACACGTGATTGTATTTTAACTTATTAATGATTCTTTTATTGTTAATTGACTTGGCCAAATAGAAAAAGGGAGATCAGTTATCAGTATCAACTTTATTTAAACGAGTACAATCAAAGGCTAAAAGTGGTTTAATTTAGTTTGGTTTTCCAAGTGAAAACAAATCCATCGGATATATCTCCACGTATGAACAACAATCAACTTGATTCCATTGAATTTTCTATTCAAATCTGAATCAAAAACATTCCGCACATGCTGAGACTGAGATTGACTAAAACTTATCCCATCTTACGATGCCAGAAAGAATATTAAATTGAAAGCTTGCACCAAACAAATGAGTCTGAAACCATTATTGCATGGTTTAGCACTTAATTATATTCTATTTTTGGATTGGCAAAGTGAATAACTGCTTAAACTTACGTTCATTCTTAATCATTCTCGTTATAAATTGGTCGTGGCCTCATCAGATAAGTATCCAAAGGGTACACTAATTTGTGTGGTACACTTCTTAAAGGACGGTGTCCAAACTTGGCAAACTTTTGGGTCCCACAAAACCCATCATCTGAATTCTGAAAACGTAGCGAGCTAACTTGATAGGTAATCAAGGGTGAAAAGAGACGACGGCAATAACCAAGAGTGGTAAGAGTTGTCTTCTTGCCCCTTAAGCAAAAGATTGAAAATTTCCAGCTTTTATGAATGGATCAAACCTAATTAAAAAGGATCAAAACTCTGCTCGCGTAAACTTCTCAACAAGTATTTATAAGAAAATAAAATCAAAAGAAAAAAAACTAAACTAACACTTTTCAAAAGCTAAAATTAGCTTAAGGACTTATTAGATAATCTTTTCTATAAATTCTTTTAGGAGAAGAAAAATAGAATGAATTTCTTTATAAACTAAACTTTTACATAACTTAAAACCTATTTTGAGAAAACTAATACAAAAAACTTTTATAAATTAAAAAATTAACTTGTGTATAAACTATTAATTTCTGAAAAACCTTATTACATTTTTCCTTTTTATGTTTTTCCTATAAATACTTGTGAAGAAGTTATCAACACATCTTAAACTAATTTGTAAAAATTCTTATTAATTTGGAAAAGTTAATATTTAACTTAGAAATAAGTTTTAGTTTATAAAAAAATTGTTCCATTTTTTTTTAGAAGTATGAGGAAATTACTATGACTAGATTAAGTCTCGACACTCCTTGCAAAGGCCAATATAAAGAGAGCAATGCTGATTATGAAGATGGGTTTGGGGGTTCAAGCATTGAGTGTGACATTGCCACAAACAGGTCCCCACTAATAGAAGCTCAAGAAAATGGGCCATTTAGCTGTTTTCCAATTTGACGATCCAAGTGTGTGCATGGTTGGCAATTTGACATAAACCATGGTCCATATAACAAGTCTCCCCTTTACAAAGTTTGGTACAACGCATTTTATGATATAAACACAAGTGTAAATAGAAGTATGACGCATCCATCTTTTAAAATTTTTAACTATTGGCTTAATAACTAATCCATCCCCACTTCAGAAACAGTAACCAGTAAGATTCATTGCACACCTTTGGCTAACAAAATCATCATCTCTGCTGCTCAATGCTATACTTCTGGAATAAGTTACAATCAGAATCGACTTTCAAACTAAAAGATTCAAAACAAGTAGTCACAAAATTTTTTCATGTAAAAGATTTATCACAAAAACTTAACACTTTCTTGTTTCTAGAGTCTTACAAATGCAACAATAAGTACCAAAATGGAGGTTAGAAATACAACAGCATCTGTATTGTCTTTTTACAATTTTGACTTTTCATTAGTACTTTAATTATTGATCTATGATGGTTGTCACTACGGTACTAAATATCACTTCAGTCATTGAAACTAATAAGCAATAACTACATGGAAGCCATACCAAGTCTTAAGCAGTTTGTACTTTCCCTTGAGAACGAGTCTTAGATTTGGCAATCCCTTCTTTCCATCCTTTCTGACGAGCTCTCAGTTCCCACAATGCAGTGAGTTTCTTCTGAGCCACTAATGCCATCTCAGCCTTTTCCCTGGCTTCTTCACATGTCTCCATTCCTGAATTGCACTTGTCTGCTTCTTTTTGATATTGAGATGCCATCTTCTTGGACTCCAGCAGAGCCATGTCACCACGATGCTGAATTTTCAAAGCTTCAGTCTCCCGGAGATTTAGTTCTTCTGACAGTAACTCCGCAACATTCTTTTCAGTGTCTCCATCCACCTCTGGATTGCGCTTTGCACAATCTAAATGAAAATTCAATTAATCAAGAAAATAAGCAGAAGTTGGTAAAAGGAGTTGGATATGAAAAACAGACATAGAAAGTAGAAACAGTATTTTCGCTATGAGACAGCTGACAGCTGCAGGCAAGATAAAATTTCTGTTTTTAAGCTTTTATCCCATCTTCAAGCAGACATTTATCGGTAAAAGACTCAAATTTCATATTGATGTTGAAAATGATACATCAAACCCAGACCGTGATATAACATATAAGTATATAACTCAAGCAAGTTCATAACTTTATTTAAACAAAACGGATTATATGATGACCCACAAAGCAACATTATTGCAACACCAGCTACGTAGGAAAATTTTGTCTAGCACAGTGAAGTACAAGATTAAAATCACCAAAATTCTATATTATATATTACACATAGTCCTTCATAAATAGATGTTTTTCAAACACAAGAAAATATGCCAGTAATGAATCAATTTTTATAGAAGGGAAAACACACAAAAGGCACATGAGATTTCAGATCCTGATAGTTCAACCTATCTAACGAGAAACAAGCTAGTTTACTAGTTAAGAGATTATAATAATAATAACAACTAGGCTAAAATAGAATTTTGCTCCCTCCTTTTTATTATAAGTTCAATTTGATCCTTAAATTTAGAAAATTTCACTTTCAAAGACCATAAAGTGTCGTTATTAGTCAAATTGGTTCTTTGGCGTTAATTTTAGCTGATATGACACTTAATATGATAAACCTAAAAGTAGCAATTTAGTCTAACAAACATACTTTAAAATCAGGAAACAAAATTGAAACAAAAAAAAAAAATATTTTAGCCTAATAACTAGGTTATTTATGACAAGTTTGGGTCAAATTCATTGATAGAGAGGTTATGATGATGAGAATAAAGTAAGGTTTGGTGATGTAAATAGAGGAAGTTGATTTAGGAAAAATGAAAGTAACCTTGAAATGAGGAATTGGCAAGCCCTGCAGAAAGAAAGTGGAATAAGCGCATGTTAGAGAGGGAAAAAGAGTGTTGAATTGGAAGCAGAAAGAGGGAAATGTACGTTGGGGAATGGAAACGGTGGGGTGGGAAGAGCAATCGCAGATGCAAGGAGCGCAAGAAGAAGAAGAAGAAGAGTGTTTGATGAGTTCAACGAAGTGCCAGTAGAGAGGTGGACCCACTATGTACCCTGCAATGCACAGCGCCACCGCCCACAACCCTAACCTCACCGCACCGCCACCACCCATTTCTGCTAACACCTCTTTCTTCTTCACTCTTCACTCTGCACTCAAATATTATATATATATATATACACTTGCGGTGTACCGGTGGATATTTTTTAATTATCAAAAAGAGAAGAAAATATAATTATAAAATATTTCATTTTCAATATAAATAATTATTTAGTATTTTATTTTATCTTTAACTATTTATTATAGAATAAAAAATGTTAATAGATTTGATTAATATAAAAAATAAATAGTGTACCAAGAGATTATATAAGTAACTTTTATAAAACCTTAAATATTAATTGTATTTCTTTTTATTCCTACAAACATTAAATGTCAAACAACATTAAAAGGATTGAGTAAAGGATTTTACATACTTACCATGCATAATCGATTGTCATCCTATGTCGATGTATAAAAAACAAAAAATTTACACAGTTTGTGCAATTTTTTTCTAATATAACAAATTTTCAATGAAAGTTTTTATTTACATATTCTTATCTTATATATATATATATACAATAATGATATGTTTTTCAACAGTAACATTATTTTAACAGATTCTCAGTTTCTCGCAATATATTTCACAATAAAAAAGAGTAAAATAAAATACGTAATATGATAAAAAAAATAATAATTGTAAGAATTTTTTAATACATTACTAGTTTAAAAATTTATATTATTAATTAATTAAAGTTATATTTTTTTGGTATAAAACATAATTTTTTGATTGATTATTAAAATATATATAATAACAACTTATAATTAAATTGTTTTACATTATCTTCTAGTTAAATTTTATAAAAAAATTATACAAAATTTAATATTACTGTTTTTTTAGCTACTTTTTTCTTGTGTTTTGTCGCGTTGAATGTGTCGTTTATTTGTTATGTTTTTGACTTTTCTGAGACACTGCTTCTGCCTCCGCCAGGCCTAATTCACTTTCTGTTACACTTGCATTTGCTTTTAGATATTAAACTTTTGATGAATCTCATGCCTATGCCTTTTGACCATGTTTTTGTAATTGAATCCTAACTAACTTTTTAAAATTAAATATAAAAGGATTAAATACTTTTTAAATTCTATTTTTATTTATTTTTTTTATTTTTTTTTATTTTTTTAATTTAAAATAGATTTTTTTAGTTTCTATATTTATTTTTTTTATTTTAAAAAAAAAATTAGTTTAAAATATATCTTTTTAGTCTTCATCTTAACAATTTTTAATTTTTTTAGTCCTTACAGTTAATCTAAATATTTAGAAGAATATTTTGAATTTTAAACTAATTAAAATAAAAAAGTTAAAATTAAAGTAAAAGTTATAATTGAGTTAAATAATAATATTTTTACATTTTCATAGAAATACAATCTTTTAGTTTCTCATCTCCTACCATAGAAATATAAAATAATGATTGATTTTCTTGTAGATAAACAATTCATAGAAATATATATATTTTAAAATTGGTAACAAATATGGGAATTCTACATCCCAAAGACTGATGTTTTAATATGTGAAACAAATACATTCTAAATTCTTATTTGTCTTATTTTAAACGGTGTTTGTTAAGTAAAATATCAAAAAATCCTAAGGCTCATATCTTTTATTGGGTCCCATGGCATATTATTATATCTTGAAGTGAGCAATCCATAAAGGCCATTGGATTTGATGCACAACTTTTGAATCTCCAACCTCTCTTCTATGTATGATGCTGATCCATTCATCTATCTTACTTGATGTTTTCAAAACACCAAGATCTAAATACTTTTTACATCCAAGATAATTTTACATACAAGATTTTAGCAAGAAAATACATTGATTCCCCAAATGTCCAAAGTTATTCGAGCATGAGTTGCACAAAATTTTAAAACCTCATTTTGATTACGACATATTAAAAGTTGAAATCTTGATTTATATCATATTAAATGGTGTAATTTAGCTGAAAAGATGATGTAATATAAAATAATAATACACATTCGCCGAAAAGAAAAGAAAAGAAAACTCCAACAACATGTTCTTTTATGTTTCAATAACACTATTTTCATAAAGGAAATACAATGAAAACAACTTGATGTAGTAAGATACATTAAAGATAACTAAATGGATTATATGATCAATCTTTGATGGTAAGTTTGCACAAGTGCACAAAAAGGAAAGCCAACATTGTTGACTTGCATATTGTGGATAAGGGAATCCCATACTTTCCTTTTAGAAATAACCCTTTCAAAAATGACCAGTAGCATATAACTAAATATGAACTACAAAACATTTCTCCTACACCAGATCCATGCCCACTTCTAACAACTGGTTGCCATCCCAACAACTTGGTAAATAGTGCTATGAGTTGAATAAGCAAAATAGTTGTGCCAGGTACAAAAACTGCGGACTCGTTAAAAGTGAATCTACCAATGTTTTCATTATCATCCTCATTAGAAGCTGGTTGGTCCTTCTTTGTTATTTCAAAGACAGGGTCAGATATCCTTAATCGCTTTAGTATGATGCTCAAAAATCCAAAAAACCAAGCATTCATGGTTATTATCCTTATCATTCGCTGATTGTTCCACCATGTTCGAAATGATAATCCAGTTTTCAAATACTCTACAAGAGTAGATATGTTGTAAATCACAAGTAACATAACGGGGATCCATTGTCCGAATTCCTGCAAGACCATCATTTACACACCATTGAAATAATGAAAAATGTGTGCATTGAGTAAGTTGTTGGATATGGAATAATGTCGTGAAATTAATAGAGAGATAGAGATTTTATACAAATTAAGCTTCTAAATCATGGATTATATACGTACAAATGTTAGTACTCCCTTTATACTTCTATATAAGCAAAAAATGCTTAATTTTTTTTTACTTAATTATAAGTAAATTTTAATCAAGTCAACTTTATTTAATGTTCTTAATCCAAAAATATCCTTAAGACAATATAAATAAGAGCATTATTCAATAAATGTGATTAAAGATATTTTAGTAAATATAGTGTATATTTTATATGAAATTGTAAAAATTAAATACATTCAATTACATATCTTAATCTATGTGAAATTAGTCTTTTTTTTTTCCTCATATATAGGTCTAAAGGAAGTACTATCTAATTTGAAAATTGAATGTTTTTTAAGTTCATACCTTAGGCAAGAAGTGGGAGTTGGTAATGATGCAATAAGCAGACAGAGCAGCATAACATATTTCAGGGATAGATCGTAAGGCCCAACTTGTGATATAAAGATACGCTATGCACTCTGTGAACTGGAGCTTACCAAATAAAGTTCCAAAAATTGGAGAATGCTTACTTAAGAGGATATCACCTAAACCTGAGGCCCATCTTTTTTGTTGACCCATTACATTTAGGGTATTTTGAGGTGAGCAACCCATAAAACCTATACGATCTGATGAACACACTTCAGACCTCCAACCTTTATTATGGATTTTCAGTCCAGTAAGTACATCTTCTGATGTTGATCCATAAATCCATCCCACCTAATAATTTCAAAATTTTAGAAGTTAAAAGACCAATGACAAAATAAAAAATAGTCAACTTTAACAGAACAAATCTTTTCATACAAAATCTAATAAGAATCATCAAGAAAAGTTTAAGTCTTACATTAATTAGGGATAGGATAGGGTATATAATTTGGAGGTAACTTTTATACCTTTCAAGTTAATTTTGTAAAGTTACATTAAGTCTAAACCTACTGTATAAGATGAGCGTGATCTACATACTTTCATTTTGCATGTACACATTACATACATAGATGAAATTCTTCAACCCTTTATTCATTGGATGTCACAATTAATATGCACTGATTTGCAGAAACTCAACAACCACATGTCACTTGAAAATGAGTCGGGGCTAACGAATTTGATCTTAATAAATTACATATAGTACGATAATTATATTGAGAATCAAATGATAAATGCATCTAAGATTAATATAAGCATAAAAGTGGGACGTGGTGTATGTATACGTATTCATCAACAATATCAGCTTTAAATTAATAAAAGTAATTAAGCATGCATTATGACTTGTATGTGCTTTTAAAAAACTTGATCTGTATATGATAAGTGGCAACTGGGAATTGTGACTTTGCTTGTGTTTGAAATTTTAGACTAGTTTGTACCCAAAATTCTGTAGTGATTTTTAGCATTAAATATATTGTCTCTATTGGATACCTGTTTGCCCCAAGCAGTGCCGTAATCGTACTCACAACTAGCAACTTCTCTTGCTGCCTCAAGAGAGTTGCAAAGGTTATTATTGGGACTTAATGTCTTTCCTTCCAAAGCATCAGTAGCTGATTCCACTAACACCTTTGAAGTTCCAAATATTGCTTTCATTTCTGATGATTTTCCTGCAGAAATAATATGATAAGGTACCTAATTCAAATAATCAATTTTACCGTTATATGTCGTAATAAAACTATCAAGATAATTATTGTAAAAATTAACTAACTATGGAACAAGTTCAACTCAACCTTATAAAATGATTTCTAAAAGAATAATTACTCTCTCTATATATATTATATTAGTTATACAAGATCTTCAACATATTTATTCAAACGGAAGATTGAATAATTCAAATATAAAGTTTAGATGATTAAATATCTATGAATGGTGTGATAACGAGTAATATGATATCAACAATCAATTATCATTGAAATAGACTATGATATTATATTAAGAAAGTAAATTATGAGATTAATTAAATCTTTCAAAATTAACTTTTAAGATAAAAATTATTTTCTATTTACATACACTATATTAATCATACCACTAGTTAATAGGAGATAGTGAATTATTCATCAAGAAGAAGCAGAAAAAAGTTTAGAATAATAAGGATAATAGTGAAATTAGAGTACCAGTGGTAATGGCATGATCCATCTTTGTATTTTGAATTTGGTGATGGGGAGAAAGACCATAAATTATTTTTCTTCTGCTCAAGCAATTTGTTCCTGAGTAAAATACCCCTTGGAGACCAGATACTCCACCCCCGATGTACTGCAATATTAGAGGAATACATGCTTATTATTACTACTTGTCATAAATGGTTTTTGTTTAATTAGTATTTGAAACTTGACACACCAAAAACATAGCCGCAAGCTGATTTCCGAAAGGATCATCCTTTATTCCATCGTAGTATTGCTGGATACATTGAGCAAATGCAACTTCTTTTTCTCCCTTTGTATCTAGTAAAATGCAGAGGGCGTGTAGAATAATCTTTGGATTATGCACATACATGTCACAATCTAGGTTCAGGATGTAGGGAGCATTTGTCATCACCCCAGAGACTCTTGTCTACAAATAATCGCAAATTTGGAATCATGTGTAATTAGATTCACTTAGATGGCCGCTGAAATGAGAATTAATTTCTTCATCACAATATAATTATATTTTTAATTTTATTGCTAGTTACCATGATACACATAAGAATTTCTTGTTAGGGACACAAACTTACCAACACATTCATAGCACCAGCTTTATAATGGTGCGGGTGTTGTGGCTTCTTTTCTCTAGATATGTAGATCAAATGTGGTAACTCATCTGCAAGACCTTCTTTGTTTTCCCATATTACCTACCAACATCAAAAAAATAAAAAAAAATAAAAATTGCTTCCATTTGTATTCCCTTTAAAAAACAACTGATAAGATATTGATGAATATATTAGTAGTATGAAACATTCATATTAATATAGTTGATGTACCTTAATAATGGTTGGATGATTTTTGGGATTTGCATTTGAGAAAATAGAAAAGTCTCCATCAAGCGGAATCGAATTATGTGTTGCATTCATGATTTTACGATTAAGCCGCTCGTACTCCTCCTGCACACAAGACAACATCGGAGATATTCTCATAAGATTTATCTTGCATTTCTCTCTATATAATATATATATATATATATAGGTATTGTATTTTTTTATTCATAAAATTGAATGCGAACATATTTTAGTTATTGTACAAGAAAATACTTATTATTAATTTAAATTAAATTGAGTTATAAATTTAATTTATTTTAATTTAAAATAAATGTTTTTTCTTACATACTATAATAAAGAATTTTAATTTATTTTAGAAATGATGAACCTTTTGACAGCTTTTTGTAAGAGTTTTTTTTCTCATAAATATTCTACTTTATTAGAGAAAATATCGTTAGATATTAAATATTAAATATGAATATTAATATCAATTAAATTGTTATAAATTATAATGTGTGATTTGGATTTTATAAAAAAGACAAACTTTTTGTAACTTGTACGTCATTAACCAAATTATCGCAGAAATATGAGCCTTAATTTCCTACACGCAACTGAGACTCGACTCGAATTGGTTGAAAGCTTCTCCGGTCTCCACACGTTTGATTTTCATGGTTTGGAATTTATATAGGATTTGAAAATTAAAGTTACATTTGAATAATATACGTAGTTTTAATTGATAAAATAAAATCTACTTTAGTTTTACGACTTTTTTTATTTTATATATATATATATATATATATATTATCATATTATTTAATATTATATTTTTTAGTTTCTTTTTTCTTTTTTTATTTCTCTCTTTCTTTTATTCATACGCCCCAAATGTGAAGTGTAATTTGAGTTTTTCTTCTTCTTCTTGAGGATGTAAAACAAAAGCCCATAATATATTTACTTTTTTATATATTTTATTTTTATTCTATTTCTTTTTATCTAGCTGTATATCACTTTTGTTTTTTTTCTTTTTTTTCTTCTACCTTGTCTATTTTCCTTTCACCTCAATCCATTTCAAAAAGAGGTGGAATATGATATATTAGATTTATAGAATAAAATAGAAAGAAAGATAAGGAAATGAATGAGAGAAAAAGAAAATAAATATAATTTTATAAGTTATTTAATATGAAAAATTATAGGAAAAGTTTCAACTTTTTTTTTCTTTCTTTTTAACAATATAAAAATGAAAAATATAGATATAAAATAGAGTTAGTTGCATTCACACTCTTTATTTATTTATTTATTTATTTTTAAAATTGCACTCAATACTCTTCTATTTTTGGATCTACAATGAGACTTTTAAAAGTTAAAAAGATGGTAGTATCCCTTGATCCACAAACAACACTAAATCTATTCATGTGGATCTACAATGAGACTTTTAAAAGTTGAAAAAATGGTAGTATCCCTTGATCCACAAACAACACTAGATCTATTCGTATGACTTTTAATAAATTTTTTCTTCCCGAGATATACCTTTTAATAAAAAAGATGATAAACATTTTTGAAAACAAAAAATTATTAAAAATCATGCACAAGTCACATGACATGGATATGTTAATAGACTTAATATTATTTATGGATAGAAATGAATAGTATAATATTTTTTCAACTTTTAAATTTTTTTACTGTAAGTCTAAAAATAAACACAAAAGTACAAATGTGATTTACTCTATAAATTATAACAAAAACATTTCTAAAGAAAATACGTTAAAATAAGGATATTTCAATCTTTTATCGTAAAAGTAACTTTTTCTTCGTGTATTCTTCCAAGAGCTTTGATAGACTGTAAAAAGTGTGGTTACAGTTCCACTTTTTTTTTTTTTTTTTTTAATCTTCCAGAATTAGAAGAAAAAAACAAAACGGATATATTGTTGTTGGTTCCCTTTTCCAATTCGCTTTTGTCTTTCTCCCTTCAAATAGTGTTGATAAACCTATAGTCGAATATGGGGTGTACATAGATAGAAGAAAGAGATAAAAAAAAAAAAGAAAAAAAGAAGAGAGAGAAAATAATAAATGTGTTAAATAATACAATGAAAAAGAATAATAAAAAATAAGTATATGATTATATATTATTGTTTAAGTCAAAAATACTTTTTATTTGAATTAAAAAATAACTGCTTAATTAAATTTGATTTAGTATTACATACTTGGGCGTGATAAGGCTCACCTAAACTTTTTGAAAAAATAAGAATTGAATATATTAAATGATAAAAAAAAATCAAATTTAATTTAATTAAGCCTAAAAATTAATTCGTATATAAACGTGATAATCAAAGTATACATTTTGTTACCTCATTGTTTAAACAATTTCAGATTAATAAATTATTATGCATCATAATCAGAATCATGACTAAAAGATAATATTTTTTATTTATTTTATAGAGTATAAAAATCAATTAAATATGCATTAATAAAAACATTTCTAATCATATTATTACTTTGACATTATTTTGGTAATTCATATTAATAAATATATACTTAAAAAAAATTATCTTTAATAAAATTTTCCAGAATCTAATACAAATCCATTGAACAAGGCAAATATATGTATAGTATAAAATTACCTTGATTCTTAACCAGTCTTGAATAAACTCTGGTGTGTCTTCATTGTTGTTAGGGGTGGTGTTGGTGAAGTATCTAAAAGGTGCTCTAAGTTGAATGTTGTACTTCTTACAGAAAGGTACCCAAAGTTTGGCGAATTTGGATGCTTCAAGAAGGGCATAGAAGTTAAGAGGGGAGCATCCATCATCAGAAACATAGCAAGCTAGTTTGTGAGAAGGATAATCAAGCGCTAGAAGAGACAAAACAGTGTTGATTGTGATGATAGGTGGTTCAAGCACTGGGTCTGCTGTTGTCACAAATAGGTCCACCGCTGGAAGCTCAGACTCAGGTACCCTGATGAAAAAACACACTTAATTAATTATTGTCCAAAAATTATATTTTATTTTACTTAGTTGGTGCATATAGCACATAGTATAGTATATAGTAAAAGAAGAAAAACATATGGGAATCACGGGGCATGATGTCATATATATAATACTACAAGATATATATATATATATATATATATACCGAAGCAAGAGACGCTGTACGTAGGTTATGGTATATGCAGGATTCCATTTGGTGGTGATGATGACAATCCAAAGGAAAGTGAACCATGATTCGCACATGAAAGCAAGGAGTTGAGGGACGGTGCAGTTGTTAAGAGAGAAAATACGGTAAGCAAGGAGCAAGAAGAGGAGGAGCAAAGTGAAGGAATCCATTACTCTTGAAAACCTATGCTTCACCCATATTTTATCATAGAGAGGGAGATGCTTATCGTTTCCCATACTCAACAATTCAATTAAAATATCTGTTTCACCAAATAGTTGATCTATGCTTCGTGCCTTTATATTGTGACTCACGCCTAGTTTCCAACAAAAACAAAAAAAGTGCCCTTGATTTTAAGCCACAGGAGGGAATATTTTGTCAATTTATAATTATTAGAGATATGTAGTAGTTAGATCCTTTAATAAATTATAATTACTTGTGTTAAAAGAAGAAAATAGATAATAAAAAATAATAATAAAGAAAAATAAAATAAATGAAAAAAGTGGAGGTGAAGGACAAATATAATTTGTCTCATGTAAAAGGAGGGCCTTCATGATCAGAACCGAGGGTCAGGTTAGATTACTTATTACCACCGGTTCCCTCGGGCCTGGGGCAATACAGAAGGGACTTATTTGAGGCTTTTTGACCTCAGTAAATTAAAAAAAAATAAAAATACACGAAATAAATTTTAAAAAAAATAATTATTGAAATAGGTGATTTTGGACAAGTCAGCACACACGTGACACTGAAAACGCCTGGGGTAGGCGTTTTTTAGAAAACGCCTTCCCCCCAGACGCCATGTAAGCTGATGTTGCACGGTCAAAAGAAAATGCTGGGGGGAGGCGTGTTGTACACGTGGCAGAAGATTGTTGAAATGCCCCTATATTCCCCACCTTGCAGAACGGGCTGTTCTCCTTGCAGTACGGGTCGTTCTGCAAGCAGTACGGGCCGTTCTGCAAGCAGTACGGGCCGTTCTGCAAGCAGTACGGG